ATAAGGGGAAATTTAGGTAGTTGTCCATACAGGCACGTAGCCAGGATTGTGTTTCGGGGGGGGGGAGGGGCCGCCCATGACAAAATGCTGTATGAGGGGGAGGGGAAGAGGAGGTCTCAGCAAAATGGACGATTTCGGGGGGGGGGGGGGGGGGGGGGGGGGCGGGCCCCATGCCCCCCCCCCCCCCCACCCCCCCCCCTGACGACGTGCCTGTGACCATATCTGTGTCAGAATCAAGTCGCTTGTATTTGGATAGAACAAACTGCACCGCTTTCCTCTGAACTTTTTCGAGTTCACCAATTTGATTTTTTTTATATAGGAATCCCCATACCGGATGCAGCGTACTCCAAGGTTGGCCTAATATACGTTGTGCAGGCCATTAACTTCACTTGAAATGGAGCACAGTTCAAATTTCGTCTTAAAAACAAATGCTTTTTTACATGCTTTCTGACATATTTCATTTATGTGCTTACTCCAACTTAATTCTTTCGAGATTGTCACACCCAACAAGTATTTAAAACTATCGATTTCAACCAGGGGACTCCCTCCAAGCTCGTAAGTAAAGGAAATAACATTATTAGTTTTGTTAGTTATTCGCGCAAACGCTGTTTTTTGTGTGTTAATTTTTATCTACCATTTTGATCACCAATCTTGAATAGACCTAACGGATGCACTTAATCTGCGCTGGTCGTCTTCCTCCCTGATTTTTGAATCAGACAATCATCCGCAAATAGCCGCATAGTAACCGCTTGGTTTATTTCCGCCGCGATATCATTAATATGAATTAAAAATAATATTGGTCCGAGTACTGACCCCTGGGGGACGCCTAGGGCACTTTGGATACTATTGAACAGGCACCTTTAACCTCTACATACTGCACCCGATTAGGTAAATACGCCCTGATTCACAATTTCACGCTATGATTTACACCATGCAAAGGAAGTTTATGAAGTAGTTCATTGTGTGGTACTCTATCAAACGCATTAGAAAGCCCAAGGCGTGCCGCATCAATCTGTCCTTGCTCATTAGAAGTGGTGGAAAATGTTTCTATAAGTTGCGTGACCTTCAATAGCTGCTGGCGAAACCCATGCTGGTTAGAATGAAAAATATTGGAGGATTCGAAATACTTGCATAATGATTTAGAAATAATATTCTCAAATAATTTGCATACTATGCACGTTTAAGATACGGGGTGGTAGTTTTCAATATTATGCTTACTTCCTTTTTTAAGAATTGGTACGACTTTGGCACTGTGCGAATCGGGGTGTACGTGGTGTCATTTTAGTGATGTTTGAAAAATGATGGTAAGATTTTTTGAAACCCATTCTGCATATATTTTTAAAAACTCGTTTAGTATTTTCTCTGGCCCTGTTTACTTCTTTACGTCTGAGTTTGATAGAAATGAAAACACTCCCCCTTCGGTGATCATTATATCACCCATAGTACTACTTGTCGCATTGAAGCTCAAGTCCTCTATAGCACTGTCTATATTAACAAACACAGCATGGAAAAAGTTATTAAATCTATCGGCGAAAACTTTATTATCGGTCACAATATCATTGCTTTCAATGATATACTCTAATCGTTCTTTCCGAGGTTTTAAGTGACGCCAAAATTTGTCGGGTGAATTGTTCATAAAATTCTGCAGAGTTTCAGAGAAATAAAGTCCCTTCGCTGAACTCAGCTTTTGCTTTAGAAGACATGAAAGTTCTAAAAACACTTCTTCGTTTTCGTTTCTTTTACGACGTTTACGTTTTTATTTTACGCTTGGGTTGTACGATCTCTCGAGTTACCTAAAAATTAGATTTTTTTATTAATTGTTTCCGTTTGAGTAAAAAAAATTCTAAGCAATAGGTAACAATGCGTTTAAATTCAGCCCATAAAAAATCCACGTCACTTGTACCATCGAAAGTTGAAAACCGAGAAAATGATAGATCGAGGTATCGTTCGATTTAGAAAAATTAGGCACTTGAATAAAACACTTCGTTTCTTTACATATTTTAGCAGTTTTAGAACATGAAAATACTAATTTATGATCACAGATACCCCCGTGAACAGGCACTTTATACTCGAGTAAATGACTACTTAAAAATATTAAATCTAACAACGAGCAGCTGTTTGCAACTTCACGAGTGAAACCCGTAACAACTTGCGGCAGACAATTGTTAAATGCAATATCGAGAATAAGTTCTCAATTAATTACATCTACATGTCCTGCATCAAGCTCATCCCAATTAATTCCAGGCAAGTTAAAATTTCCAGAAATAATTAGTCTGGTTTCGAGTCTAACTTTGGTACTAAGGTAATCGTGTAGTGCTTCCAATACTGAATTAAGAGCATCGGGAGGCCTATAAAATGCACAGACGACGTAGTGTGCATTATAAAAGTTCATTTTACACCATATACATTCAACTTTCTGAATGTCTTTTATTACTACATAGTCGATATTATTTTAAGAATCAATGCTACGTCGCCTCCTCTGCTTTTCATATCGTTTCTTATCATCTTATGCCCTGGCGGTAGTAAGTCTCCGTCACTTATTTCTGAGTGTAACCATGTATCTGTTACTACGACAACATGAGGGTTATAAAGCATTAGTACCTGCTCTAGTTCAATAACTTTGTTAGCTAGACTGGGCGCGTTTAGATTTATCACACGTAACACCTCGGTTTTTGTTTTTTTTCTTCAGCGAGTCACCCTTCATTATTATCGGATCTCTTCCTATTAGGTTTGACTCGACAGTTATCTTCGTCATGCAACGAGTAAAGATCATCGTTTATCTTAATCTTATCAGCCACGAGCTTTACCAGCGCGCCATCATCCCCCTCTGCTCTCGCACTTTCCCAAAGCATCTTCGTTTCGTTATAATCGTCCCTGAAAAGTCGTCTGCGATAGATATTCTTGATCCCTTCTATTTTTTGCAGTTGCGAAATATTTCTATTTTTCATTGAGTCTACAAAGTTCATGATTACTGGCCGAATTTTGTTGGGTTGCTTCCGTCCAATTCTGTGCACTCGTACGATCGACTTTACTGTAGCTCCCAGGCGGTTTTGGAAAACATCTGCGACTACTTTCAATTTTAAGTCTTCGTTTTTTTCGTCTTGGTTCTCAGGGATACCAAAGATTACAAAGTTGTTTTTCCGACTACGAGCTTCTAGGTCGACAAGTTTCTCCTGTTGGGGTTGAATGGTCGCATTCAACGTTTGACGGTATCTTCAGGGCCACTGTTCTTGACAGAAGTTTTATTCGTGATGCTCTTATAATCAAGTGCAGAAAGAAAATGCACTCGCTTTTTACCATAGAAATGCATTGCCGGAAGTTAATTTCCGACTGGTTGCTGTCTGCTTCAATTTGCGGCAGCACACTAGCGCCAGTTAAACCTCTAGCGTACGTTATTATAACTCTATGCTTGGCTCAAGGGAGCAACGTACGGAACAGCTGTTGCCCTACCGCATTCCAAGTCCGAGTTCGTGGCACCATCTGGTGAGCCGCGAATCAACTCTCCACGAAGTGTCTTCTCGAGCTCCAAATTCAAATGATTGTGTGTTTTTTTTTTTTTTTTTTTAAACACCACAATAAATTAAGAGAGTCGGCGCACACCATGGACCGTAGAAAGCAACGAATAAGCAACGTAATGTACCACACTATAGTGACCGACAGCTTAAGTAAAGCAGGGCGGAGCTTATAACGACCAGACTTCTTGATTGGCTTTTTTGGTGTTCTCATAGCCTCATGCCGCAATGCGATTGGCTGGGAAACGATAATGAGATGCACGGGATTCGCGTTTCTTAAGATCTCTGTAAGTATATAGTCGATGACAACTCAAGAAGGTAGGGCGAGGGAGAGGAGGATGGGAGAGGAGAAAATGAACGCAACGATGGCGGGGGGAGGGGAAACCCACTCACCTCGCCAGTGTTGCGTCCGCTTCCTTTCGAGGGAGAACCTTCCTTACCGTCGCCCTACCTTCTTAACCTGCAACATACTATAGTGTGGATACGCCATTTTCAGGAGTGCTGATTGTGTGTGTCATGTGACACAGGTGTCACATTACACATGGGACATGTGTCACATGATTGTGTGACATGACTGGGAAGGTGGCTATAACGCAGGGGTCTTCAAACACGCGACCCGCGGGCCGCATGCGGCCCGCGACTCGCTGAGACGCAGCCCGCAGGCAACCGGCTACGAGTCCCGGTTCCCATGTCTCCAGCACTAGAAGTGGCATGCCCCATCGTGATCTCATCTCGCCGATACATTTTCGCTCGAAAAGTATCTCTGAAATTTTAACGTTTATTTCCATGGTTCATACTTACCTTTGTTCATTTGCCCTTTGTTTCGCTTTATTTTTTGCTTCCCAGCTGTTTGTATAGTACAACAATTCCGCTGCTAAGATGAGAGCGCGTGCTGTTCGCTGAAGAATACATCTCGGCTGCTCAAATTCTCGATCGGCGCAGGAGCAACAGCCGAAGATAAAGCTACGAGCTCGGGATTCTCGCATTCAAACAAATATCACCATTAAAAGACACGTATTTGTTCAGGGTGTTGTAATACAGAATGTCAGAAAAGCAAGAGCTGTTAAATTAACTGATACTTTTTCTAGAGACATGTTGAGCTTGGTTAATTCCTGCGTGAATTGAATAACGGGAACGACAGTGTACTTGCACTCTTGTTCAATTAAAAATGCCAGTACTTTGGCGGAGCGGTATCATTTTTATTCTTGTCAAATAAAATTTAGAGATGTCACTGGCGACATTGTGAGTTTACAAAAAAAAAAAAAAAAATGGAGCACGAGGTCTCTTCTCTTTAAAATCTTGAACCACCCACCCGTCTTACGTTGACCCCTTCGACCTTTCCTGTGTGGGCTATCTGGTCCCACACTCAGATGAGTTTGAGGCCACTGCTGTAACGGATGACCACTTCATGAAAATGGAAATAAAAAGTAACCCCTAAGCTTGCCTGTTTTTTTGTGAAATTGCAAACAATATTCACACGTATGTATATATGTTTTTTTTTTCTTTAATAATTATTATTCGATGTTTTGGCAACTATTCGAAGACGCACAGTTCATCGCGAACGTGGAGATAACGCTCATTTTCTAAGGACTGGCAACAGCGCGTTGTGTTGCACGTTGATCCGCAGTCGTTCTGACTCCGTAGAAGAGAGCCAGTTGATGGTTGGAGATCATCGAATTTGTTTCTGGCAGGTGCATGTGGCTCGGCACGCTTTGTACTGCTCCTGAGTCGAGTTCCCGCACAGCCAGCTTCGCCAGTGTCTGGCGATCTCGCGGCAGTTCACCCAGAAGTCGGCGTGATCGCAGGAGTTGGCTGCAAAGTCGACGCGCACGAGAATGAGAGATACGACGGACGTTTTTGCAAGTGTGGTTCACTACGCAGAACACAGAGACTGGAAGCCATTTGTGTTTAAGTTGATCCGGTTAATATTATGTACTCGCAAGAATGTATCGGCAATTTGTCGGAATACTCGCAACAGTTGGTCGGAAGTGAAAATATATACGGCCTCTTCCCTGCAATCGATTTTTTTGTTATATTCATTCGTTAGCTATGTGCACATGTTCCGCGACTTTAGAGACTACGCTCTTTTTACATTATTTCTTGTTTGGGATTAACCTCAACGGCTTTGCTTTGGATTCTAGTGGAAATACAAAATATTCGCTTGGCAAGCTTTACGCGTTGCGCCTGCCTTCTTAAATTACGCTCGTTTTAATTAATTAAAACAACAACAACAACCACACTTTCTGATCTATATCTGAGCTATGTTTTGAGGAACCACCTCTAGTTGAACTTCACCAAATCCCTTTCAACTGCCTAGTAAATATTTCAAGTACAAACGAGTGTCTTCAAAGATCATGCTTAAAAACTAAAACAGCGAACGATACTCAACTGCACAGCTTCTTCGAGCGGCAATGACCGGGGCATTTGCTGCAAGGCTTGCCTCGAGAATACGGTTTGGCGAACCGCTCGGGATAATTCCCTCTAAAACCAAGCAGAAAAAAAAGAGTCAACAATAAACGTTTTTTTTTAAGAACTGAAACTTACAAAACAGTAGCTACGAAAGACGTCTAAACATAGTGCACCGTACATGGGACAGTAGTTGCAAACGTAGTTGTAGTAGGGCTTCTTGGCTACATTCCGGCCGCAGTAATGGAAACCGCAGCCGACCTTGTGGGAACTGTACCAGACCATCTGCGCCAGAGACGTCTCTAGTGAGGTTTACCAGCCTCTTAGAAATATGATAGCGCAGCTGTAGTAAACTTCGATATTTCTGTGTGTTCTGTTATAATTATGTCATAATCAAACTCATTTGATTGGCTTACCGCCATTCCGTCAATTGGAGCGTTTGTGCGTTCGTTTGAGAATATTCACAATATAGTGAACGCCATGCTGTGAAAGTATGTATGTTGCGTGGTATAGCTCCGATGTTTGCAGAACACAGAAATTTCAATGTCAAAATTTCTAACTGAAGGACTTACGAGGGTACCGCTGAATATAAATTACTTCGTCACTTGTACTTATTTTATTTGCAATATTTATATTGTATTTTGTCATCCAATATGAATGATTGAGAAGATTGGGTGATCTGCTATAAGTTTATTTTTCCATCATCCCACCCGAGATTCGAGTTACGATATAGACACACATGAGTGCAAATACGCAAGAACAGACACTCACGGATCCGAACAAATATACGCACGCCCATACACTTAACCTCTTTGCAATAAGTTATCAACGAGGGTAACATCGACAGCCGTAGGTTTATCTCCTTGGGTGTGTGTAGAACGTACCTGCGTGTAGTGGCCGACCATGGAGGGAATGTTGTTGCTGTTGTCTCCAAACGAGAAGTTGTGGTGTTCAAGGAACCATATTTTGATGGCAAAAAACCAGGGTACCTTTACATTTGACACGAAGATGTTCTGCCCACAAGATCCGTAATCTGATAGAACGAGAAAGAGATCGGAGCTAAGTTACCCATGAGCCATCCTGGTGACCTGGTTCAGATGAACAGGTGTAAGATTAAAAATTGACGTATCAAGAATTGAAAAATGAAGACTGCACCACGAAATGTGGATAGAAACGTTACCAAAGTTAGGGGTACAGTTAACCGCACATTGAACTACGCTACTGGGTCGCCGGACTACGAGTGCTCGCCGGCGACACAAACGGTTACTTGGCTGCCGAAGAACCGTCTAGACCTCCGCTGACTGGAAACGGGGAATGTCCCATCAATAGTTATGGATTGCCCCTTGCATATGTGACCACTCTCTTGGGATACTTTGTTTGGATTACATAGTTTATTACACTAGTCCTACTTCTCTTTTATAATAAAATTCTTTTTGTGAGCAAATGTAGCGACTAAATGCGGTTAAACATGAAACTGCTACTTTATTATGAGTAATAGGGAATACTGCGAAGAGCTGCGACGCATCGCAGATCAACTTCCGAACGTTTTGTTGCTTGGAAGGACGTATTTTTATATCAGTGCCGTTATTTCAAGCACGTCCGCACACACGCACAAATACTTTTCCTGAGGAAGTTGCACATATTTGCGACAGCGCGTTTGCATCGACTGATAAAGTTGCTTCTTTTTCTCGTCTGGAAATGGGGAAACTAGCTATAAGGTAGGTGTGGTGACCTCGTGTGACTGTTTTTATTATATTTTTGTTCTCGTCTACGTGAATTTGATAAACAAATTTGCCACCTCGCCTGCGTTTCTTTGCGCTATGCCGGAGCGTAATTTTTTTTTTTTTGCAGGGTAGAGCAGGCGCGGAAGGTCAATCGTTGCGTTCTACCGACGGAACGGCGAGCTTGATCTCGGCCCACTGATGTATCCTGCCCATAGAAGCCCAAGCAGAACTGCGTACATGCATGCTCGGTGATCTAAGCGCAGAGTCGCACATTTTTACCGGATATCTATGCGTGGTCCTCGTCGTTCACTAAGTTTATTTTATAGACAACTGCAACGTTTAGAAACACTACAGCCCGGCTGCACGATCTCGTCGCTCTGGCAAGCGAGCATACCCACCCGCCAGGTTCAAGCTGGAATTCGCAGCAGTGTAGCAATTAAATAGCAATTCTTAAGTTTTTCTTTTTTTAAATCTATATTTGTTGGTTTTGCCCGCTGTTGGTGGGAGCAACATGTTGGCGGATTTCCAATAGTGTTTCTCCCCAGGGGAATAAGGAATATTATGTAAGCATTGGCGATGCGTGAAGAAACAGCACATGGCCCTATACACAGTTTCAGCATACGTTTGCTGGTTAGTTGCACTTTGCGTTGGTTCCTAAGTTAGTCACGTACAAATCTAAATGGCTTGTGTGAACGTTCGTTCGACCGGGAGTATCTCTGTTTTCGTTACCTTCAACCCAGCGGCCCGTGGCGTTATCATGAATGAGTAGCTGGCATGCCTGTGCCCAGCGTTGAGCGTCCGCCGCAGCTCCCTTGTGCCACGTCTGAAAACCAACAGTAACGAAGGTCGTTTGAGGTCAAAAAACAAATGACTGTGGGTAGTTTTTTTTCTTGTTCAAACATTAGTGTTTTAGTTGAAGTTGATTACGCGACTACAATTTTCATTTGCATTGATTCAAGCAAATTATTTATTCATAGCCGATGCATTTATTAATTAAAGCAGAAACACGTTATTTTGAAGTTAGTCTTGTAGTACACTATTGACCTTGCGTAGTGCTTTGCCGTCGCTTGATGTTCGGTTCTAAGTTTGGTTGGTTTGGTTTGGTTTTTATACAATCTAAAGTAACTCCGTATATTTTTTTTATTTTTTTACAACAATTATTCTGCGTTTTTGCCGTTGATCTCGGAACTAGTATACGGTGCCAGTTCTGTGGCCGTTGCCCGAATTCTATTTAAACAAGGTTATTTCAGAAATTTTACCAGTCACCACCAGAAAAACAAAGTACCGACTTTTTCCCCTTGTGGTAATATTTGCGCCCGCACGTGAATCGGAAAATGGCACCTGCCAGAAGTCCTCCTTTGAAAAGGTCTATAGGGAGTATTGAGTGGCGGCCATATCCGTGTGCGCTGCTGCTGAGCGCGTGCTGACGGCGAGCTTCCGCAGTCCTTTTGGAGCGTGCATTTAGTACCATCAAGGTTGCCGGTCTTGGGCGATGTTCAGAGCATGCGCTCTGAACATCGCCCACAGATATGGCGTCCAGTGAATACCTCCTATAGATACTATTCGCGGCGAGAAGTTTGGATATCGCCGCCTGGTAAAATTTTTTTCCCAACCCAGAGTAAGGATACTTCAGTTTCCTCTGCTGGTGCAAGCACGTGCAACGCCAAGCTTCTGTGCACCATGACAATTAAAACATAACCGCGTGGGTAGCACGTGCACAGCCCACAGTGAGGTGAAGCCCCTCTATCCTGGGAAAAGTGGCGCTATTCATTGTTGTGGAAATGCTCGAGACACGTGCCGCTCCACTTCTGAGAAGAACATGGCGTCTGAAATTTTGCTCAGTGCTGCGCGTTGCGCTGTGCCACCATGATCTTTCCAAGGGCTGCACGTTGCGCGTGCCCCGTGCATCCACGCACCTTGCGCTACTTTTAAAACATGAAGGGGCTTTACAGTGTGTCTGCCGGAAGGAAAACAGCAGCGCCGCTCGCAAACTTCTCACCGCAAATATTTTTTAGATACAATTCGCGCGCGCGCACATAAAAGTAGGCGGAAGCGTGAAATACCCAGCGCGGTCTTCCTACCATTTCGAGCATGTCGCTGGCCGGCGGATCCACACGTGTTCGGAAGAAGTTGTGGTAGAGGGTGATTCTCTTGCGCACGGGGCGGTAGTAGGGGTCTAAACTCCGCTTGGACAACTTGTCTCCGTACACCTTGGGCCCTGGAAGCGAGATTTACAAACTGTTTTTCGGAGCTTACTTCAGCAACTCGTGACTGGGTCATCAGCGAAAAATTGTCATATGCTAGAAACGATCGTGTTAATCACTATATTGCTAATGAATGTTAAGAATAGCGCGAGCGAATTCGATAAGGGCGGAACGGGTCCGTGTTTACGTAGCTTCCGTTTCCGTTTCGCAATTTGAGTGGATAATTGTTTTCGGTGTTTAGTTGCGTGCAAGTTAGCACGACTAATGGTAAAGGCGCCCTCCTCATTGCCGCTGCGTAAGCTTATTTCCGACAGATTAATTTATGTCGTGGGAGGTTAGCTCTTACTGTGTTGTCTATGAAAAGTCTGCATTAAAACATTTGCTGACTTCTGTTCTCTGCGTATATAGGCCAATGGACACTAAACACCCAAAAAAACTCGGAGCTTTGTGAACGATGAACGAAAGCTCCGAAAAACACCGTCCGAATTTGCTTGAATCGAAAATAAGCTCCGAAAACGCAGAACGCTACGTGATATGGAAGGTTTAGGAATGGAATAATAAATGACAAAGATTCATGCTTCATTGCCTGTAACTTAACATCTGGCGTATATTTAATACCGAACACGCGAGGCAGTATAATTGTTTACCGCACGAGCAGTGGCGTAGCCAGGAATGTTTTCTCGGGGTGGGGAGGTCGTGCAGCACAGCGCCTCCCCATTGGCTCGTCGTAAGGGTTGCATAGCAACAGCTCGACGCAAGCAAACGCAAACACAACTCTGTGAACGAGCCTTCAATGCGAATAAGAAACCTCCTGCAAACGTGAGAGTACTGCTAACGTTTTGTTAAGAGCCTTAGTTTTCAGCCTTAGCTAAGGCTCCTACCGAAACATCGGCTGCTGCTCTAACGCTTGCAGGAGGTTCTTTTCAAGGTTCTTCCTACCAGCTTCGACCACCCTCGTATTTTGATGAAACTATGAGACTTACTTTGCAAGACAGGTACCCTTCCGGCCAGACACAGCACGGCCAGCAAAGACAAGCCGAGACACGTTGACTTCAAGAGGAGGTTGCACATGGCAGGTGGACGCCCGTCAGTCAGTCCCTGGGGATGCAAAGGACCCCCGGTGATTTTCAGGACGGTGTATACTCACGACGCAGTACGCGCGTGCGCCTCTACGACTACTGGCGCCAAATTTCACTTACCACCGCGCGATTGTCTCGAGAGCTACACAGGCGTCGGCCGTTTCGCAGTCTGGTCGCCGGCGTTTGCTGTACGAGGTGTTTGCTCGTGGTTATGCTTCAAGTGCCGTCTCGAGCATCGCTGTCTTTGTTGTACCTAGCGAGATGGGAGGTCTGCTCTGAAGTTCTATAGTCAGCGCCTGCCAAAGAATGCACAATCCTTCGTTACTGCTGGTACGGGTTAGGGTGTCTCGCGGTATAGTCTATCGCGGTACGTAGTTTGACGCTGAAATCTTGGCAACGACGACAGCGGTAAAGCCTCGCTGCTTGAACACACAACAGATTTACCGGGTTTACTTTATTTTAAAGGTCTGTCTTTCCGCCAAGCAATACGGCCCTCCGTTGAAGTCCTTGAATATTGCGCACTGAGAATTGTCAGAGGCTAGTACGCACTTACCACGCGCCAGACTTACTCTAGCATTGAAGGGTTTGGCTGTGCGCGTTATATAGGTGTGTAATAATGTGGCTGATGCTTCGAGTAATATAGGTACCTTATATCTTGGAAAGACTGTTACTTTGAATTTGTGCGGTGGTACCCTGGCAGAATTAGATCGCAAGCGGTACACAGATACTTTGCATATTGCGACCATTTCCTAAATATCGTAAACAACCACTCGAATCATTTCACTCATGTCACAAAATTTCTAAATGAAAAGGTAAAAGTTGTCTCAAAATCTAGTATAAAATGAGAATTCCGCTAGTTACATTTTATTTCTTCACCTATCATACGCCTTGATGTAAGTGATTTACTTATTTAATGACGAACTAGATTATATTACTATAGTTTATGCCAAATAGTGTACTACCTGACTGCGCATTGATGTATAAAGCGGTACGCTCACATTTTTCTAAACTTTATAACAGGGTGTCGAATCGGTGCACAACTCTAGGATAAACAAAAACTGTTTCCACAAAAGTCTAAATTAAAACGAATCAATTAGAAATTAATTTAGAAAATTTTTGTTTTCTCAAAAACAAATTTCGTACAATGAAGTTCACCACTGAGGGAATTGAAAGCTAAAAATAAAACAAACACCACTCGCGCAAATACGTTACATAGAGATTTGAAACTGCTTTGGATCCTCTTTTGTTTCTTATTTTGCTGCGTGTGCATGCGAGAGTTCATATCGATTGCACTAAAAGTGCGAGGGTAGAGCGCTTCGATCGCTTCAAATGCACCAGCGGATTCTGACATAAGGCAGGGCAAAACGGCGCAGAATAATAAAAGCTTATTGTTTTACCAGACGCTTTGTAAACAGAGAAATTGCCCGGCAATTGCACATGTTTGTGGCGCGCTTTTTTCCCCCTGCCTCCCGCTCCTTTACCCCTTCCTAGCAAGGCCCGCTGCCGGCTTAGTCGTACCCGTTCAGTCCAATAAAAACGTTTCCAACAACAAAAACAACTTTAATTACTTGCACAGTCAAGTCTACGAACGTGCTTTCCTTCTTTCTCTCTCTATCCCTCTCTCTCTCTCTTTCTATTTCTCTCTCTTTATCGAGAGAAATGATTGACTTTGTCAAGCGTCCATCCTCGAGATTGGGCCGTGAACTTCAAGCACTTTGCTTCCTTTCAACGAGAGTCGACCGGCCCGACTCCGAGGTCTGAGGGCAGTTCAATGAAATTCGTTCTGGTCGGCGGCTGCGAATGCACGCGCCGTCTGAGTTATTGAGGCAGTTGAGTTAATAGGCCCCAATCTGCGCGCTTGGCTAACCGTCCCTCTCTTGCTTTCCATTACATCGGACGGGGCCCTTGAAAGTGTCGCGTTTCGTATTTTAAACTGACGTTTAACCGCTGACGTAACTCGTGCGAACGCTGAGCAATGCTGAGTCTTTTTGGTTTCTTTTCTATCCACGTGGCGGATGTTTTCGCACGTCCGGATTTGCGTCTTCCTGCGGCGCTTCACTTCCAGATTCTACTCATAGATTAGACCCCGAGCAAAGCTTCCCGCGTTGATGCTGGGGCTCCGATCAAGCGGAACTCCCTTCAGTGCGATTCGTGTAACAGTGCCAATGACAAGGCCTGACTCAATGCTGTGTTTGAAACGGCGTCTGTATTCGCGCATGCCTTAACCCAACGAGGATATCTTTTTTGGAACAACAAATCCTCTAGGTATCAAGATTCACCGGGTTCTTTCCATGGGCTGCAACGATTGGCGTCCCATGTGTCCGCCGTGGAAGTGTGCGCGGTAAAATAGAAATGATTGAGAGATAATTTATAGATGAAAAGCTAGTTGAACAGTGGCGGTCTCGCGAAAATGACATTGGCTCCCACAGGGCGTGAGCGCATGTTTCGCTGTGATCTACATAAGGTTGTATACCATGCATGAGTAAGATAAGGTATCAACTTTGTATTGGCCAAAGGTTCCGGAAGTATTCTCTCAGAATGACCACGGTAATCTGGACGCGTAAACACTTGTTTTAAATTTTATTTTATATCTAGCAGCGTTCGGTCACCTATAGCGGGACATTTTCTAAGTGGCGTTGACCATACCGACAGAACCTGTGCAAAGTGCAACCCTGGCGAAGGCTGCAAGCGCGAGTTCTTTGTTTGGAATAGCACCTCGGATGCGGTGAACGAACGTAGTACTTACAGACCGCGACACGGTTGAGACGAACAAGCGATTGTCTAGTTTTTCCGTTTGTCTCTCACAACTGATAGGTTGTCATCACAAACATTGGTTTGGTAAAATATCCGTATCCGGGGAAAACAACGCAGATGACAAAGTTTGTTGTTCGTGACTACGCTGTATGCAGTGTTGAGAAGTACTTTAACTACATTGTACTTAAAGTATTACTTCAAGTAGGTTTGTACTTTACCCAGATTTTTTTTTTCTGCTACTTTCCGAGGAAAGTACAACTCCTGACTTTAAAATACATTCCCTAAATTTGGTCTCGTTAAATTTGTATCACAAAATGATGCTTTGTCAACTCTGACAAAATATTGGAACGGATATTCTACTCTCAGCAGAAACGCGAGCAGACGACACATCTCTCCGTTTGTGCTGGGGGCGGCTTTTCCCGCAGCATTTTGAACTCGCTACTTCTCGTTCGGTCAGCGCAAGCGAGGAGATTAAAATCATTCGGAGAGGGCACTCCTCTGTAAGAGGATTATTTTCGGAAGCTACGGGTCTGACGCCATGCTCTCTCCTATCCACTATTCGTCGCCATTTTCGAAAATAACTGATGCACCCTCGATTACTCCTGGGTCAGACTACATACCAGAGAAGAAAAAAAAAAGGTAAAAAAATAATGAAAAGTAACACTGTATAACAGAATGAAAGGGCATCATAAGAGATGATGTTAAAAAGTGCCTGTACTTCCTATTTTACTGAAAGTACATAACCTCTGATTTACTTTGTACTTTACTTCAAGTATACCTTTTAGCTATACTTTACCCAGCACTGGCTGCACGAGTAGCATCCAGAAAAGGTTACTCGTAATATGCTTTTTTTTTATGTGACCAATTGCCATCAAGCTGCGGGTTAGTGGTGTCTGTGGAGATCTCCGCGATGTGGATGGTGTAAAAAGAATGTGCTGAAACTTCGACGTCAGCTCGCGCTCAAGTGCAATGAACACAGCTATGCTTGGAATTTCAATACTCCACGTACACTGTTCCATAAAATTGCTTCTGGCAGCCGACATTCTAGATATTGCTGCATTTGTCACCGGTTTCTCTCGTTTGCCGAAGTGACAAGCTGCTTCATCATACGCATGAACTGGTAACTTTTTGTAAACGGTGGTAAGGGGCATTTTCTAATATTTAAACAACACTCTCAACATTCGTGTATATTACACATCACCACTTAAGTCAGTGGCGAGGCACAGAGTTACCTCACTGCATTGGACATCCCGCATTCGACTACCGCAGCACCGTCATTTCCGTGACAAGACGTTGTCATTCTCAAAACTTGAAATATAGCGTGATCACCATAAATGGTGCTCTGGCATCACGTATTGAGAATCTCTAGATTAAATTTATCTCCAGTAAGGCACTTGCGCTGCAGAAGACCCGGACACATGTAGAACGCACACACCGAGCAATAATGAATTGCAAAGAAGCCTACCGAACGAGTTGAAACTAATTCTGCCGGGATGTTTGCGGAGCATTATTTCGATGCTCCAGTCCGTCTTCGATGCTTTATCGAGTAAGCCAAGGGGACTTCAATTTCTTCAGTACAGCGGAGCTGCCGCACTGGGGATTTTAATATGCACCAGTTGACGAAAGTACGCCGGTCGCACGTGTTTTTAACAAAATTGTGATAAAAGAGAGGAAAACGCTGCAAATATAGAAATAAATAAACGAACAAAAAATCTGGTCAAGTTACCGCTTTGAGCTGGCACTGCGAGTAGTGAGGCGGAAGCTTACAGCGTAATATCTTTCCTAATTACACCAACATAAAATTGACCCGTTTGCCGTTAGGGCGCTTTGTGGTCAGGGTTGTAAAGGCCGCACTATATCTCGGAGCCTTTAGCAATCCTACGCCGATAACGACGCATGAGCGATGACCCCCACGCACGCCACATCGCATCTCTACAACAACGACGAGCGCATCGCGTGTCTGACTCAGAGCCTTCGCGCGTGGAGCGCAAATAAGATTAGGAGGACGGAGCGTGTATACGCGTAGAAGACACACGTACACACACACATACGAAAAATACACGCACACACAGAAGAAAACCCGGCGCGGTTTAGCTCTCGCCCGCACTCGCGTTTGTCGCGGGATTCTCTCAGTTTCATTGCAGCCAGTGACACAATATCCTCTTCATTCTGAGTCAAGGAGTGTTACCGGAAGAACGCGTGTTCATGCCTCTCCCACCGACGAGTTCCTCGTTTCCCCGCGTTGGCTTTGAACAGATCGGCTAGCCCACTGCAAGTTAAGTGTCTTTTACCTATCTTCTACGTGTCTCCTACGCGCCTTCGACGTGTCCATCCACTGCGACTGGCTGTAAACAGGAAGAGTATCTTCGGTGTTCGAACGTGTCGTCGAGTGTGCTTCGACATGTGTTCGCCGCATCCCGACGTTGTACTCCCGCATCGCTGTTTCCAAGCGTGGTGTCCCGTATCCCACAAATGCCAAAGGTTCTCGAGAGGTAAGACGGCTTGAGACAAACGCCATGAATGCAACAGCAGGGCCAGTGAACTCGTCGGAACTCGAGACTTGTGAACCATACTACGGACGATGGTTTGACTTCGCGTTTAGTGTCGCCGTCGTGGGCGTGACGGCGAGTGGCGCGCCGACCAACGCTGCGATGGCGACGGCTTTCTTCTGCTCACCGAACACCTTCAAGCATGGTTCTAAACTCCTGGCCAACATCTCCGCAGCAGCGCTGGTACTCTCTGTTTCAATGCTGGCAGCGTCGTCGGTTCAACTAATGGGGATGTCCATTAGCCGCATGGAGTGTACTCTTATGGGATCGACTTACACAGTCGCTGTACTTTCCACAGCCATCAGCTTCATATTTCTGGTGACCGACCAGTGCATCGTCGTGTTGTACCCTGACAGCAGCAGACGAAAGTGGACAGATCCCGTGTTCTGTGTGGTCTCTTGGGTGCTCTCGTGGGCGCTCGTGTTGCCAGCTATCATCGAGTGCTGGGGTAGCTTTCAATTGAACAAGTTCACGAACTACTGCGAGGTCGGCGGACCTCAGTCTGTTACGGTGGTGCACGGGTTTGCCTCGGTCGTTCTGCCTGTCGTCTGCGTGTCGTTGGCGTTTACCCGTTTGTTGTTTCACGTCCGATCTGCCCGAGAAACGTGTTCGACGTCTCCTGGACCCGCTTCTGTGGAGACGCCACGGTTCATTCAAGCCACCTGCTCCAAGCATAGCAGCGAGAAGCTGGACGAGGACCTTGACTCGATGCTTCTGGTCCTGGTGATAGTATGCACGTTCTACTTTGGCTTTCTGCCGTACGCGGTCGTCGGGTCATTTTTCGTCGACGACGTCGGGTGCCTGGCGACACGATTAGTTTTCCTCTGGTGGCTTGCCTTCGGTTGTTGGGGTCCCTTCCTAAACCTCGTTCGGTCTGCCAAATACCGCGCGCTGTGTCGTCATTTCTGGTGGGCACGGCCACCGAGAGCGCCCACGTCTGGAAGGGACGAGTTTGGAATGTGAATTAGGGCGTCGGAGTAAGTCCGCTGGCCCGGAACAGCTCGCGAGCACCAGAATGGTGAATTCCGATCCACACAGTGATACGGTGATGATTCGAGAAAGCGATGTGACTTCTCTCGGACGTGTATGGATTTCAGTTCACGTTTACCTAGTCGAACTTTTTATAGTAGCAGTGTGTACAAACTTTTTTTTTCGTTAGCCTTGTTTGTGTGTCTGTGCCAACAAACTTGCGCTGGCCACATATCCGCGCCAGCCCTGGCCCATTTCCGGCTCGTATTTTATGACGACGTTAGGATAAGCTCCGCCTATCTTAAGATGTCTTACAAAGCGAAGTGACGAATACGTTGTTTGCCCAGTCCTCTCAGATTAGATAACATAAAGAAAGATCAAATACGATGAACGAATGTTTTTGAAAAACTGGAAGTGGAAAATAGTGTTACTGTTTTTCCCTCTTTGTGACCGAGACCAATCTTTAGGGTCAGCATCTTGCCAGTATTGTGGTACCATTTTAACTATCTATTTCGAAGTGTACTGTTGTTGACTGAACTTGAAGGTGTTTATAGTTATAAATTACAATATAAGATTAAGGATAACACTCTTGTTCTTTGTTACGGGTATGATTGAAACGAAGTCCACGGATGCCAGTGTTCAGTTCATTTGGTATTGGAAGTAAAGCGTGATATCAATACACATGTTCGTGTCTATCAACAATAAGTGCAATTACCCAATGACGTGAATGAATAGATGACTAGTCGATAAAAACCAAAATTAGTTTACAGCAGGGGTTGAAAAAAAAAGTTTACTTTCTCTCTATATGCGGTTAAGCAAAAAAATCTGGAATTTCACATTCTCATCTACTGACCGTTCAGATCAGGGGAGTGTGACAAATTAAGATTTGTTCAGATATAAAGACAAAGGTTCTGGTAAAGTACATATGTGTAAAACAAAATTAAAGGGTTGATAATTTCTCAAAAACTTCTAAAAAAAAAAGTAGCCCGTGCGTTTTCGTGTACATAAAACAATCAACTTTTTACAAAAAAAAAAAAAAAAAAACAGGAAAAAAAGAAAACGCTTAAGCGTGCGATAAAGAAGTCCGGTTGCGCGTGCTTAACACTTTGGAAGTGTGGGAAGCGCGCGCCAAACGTTAACACGCGTAGTAATAGACATTTTGCTAAATTACGGCCAAGCATCAAAGAGAATGTTGGGTACGTATAGGTACACGCCGCCTGCACGCAATCGCCTTCCCTATAAAAAAAAAAATTCGAAATAAATAATCAAAATAATGTGTCCGTGGAACGCGCGTGCGAAGTGCCATTTGTTTTCTATTTTTGCTTTTGAACGTTTGGAACCGAAGGCGCTAGCATGCGCAACGCGTGCATACCCACGTTCCCAGCATTCTTTTTGGTCTTGGGTAATTCGGCAAGAGGTCTTTTGAGAGAATGAGAACGACGGGGCGTCCTTTTCGGATGGTCAGCCTCCAGCACGCGCTTCTTGGCTTTCATCAGGATCTGGCTGCGCATGCAAGCTCAAAGGCCACTAAAAGCCGAACTCTTACCGAAGACAGGAAGCTCGCGCCGGAGGCGACACAAGTGAAAAACCTCCCTGCCCTTCTCACCCTGTCACTGACTTATGCGGAGTGTAAATTCGTCTGCTCCTTTTGCAGTAGTTGCAGTGACGTCAGAACGACGCCGAGCTCCGATTGGCTCTGATTGAAGAAGAGTGGGTAGACCTCAAGTCAGCTTGCTTTGAGGTCTACCCACTATCCTCTCAATCAAAGCCAATCAGAAGTCGGCGTCGTTCTGACGTCACTGCAACTACTGCAAAAGAAGCAGACGAACTTACGCTCCGCATAGAATGACAGCTTCCAGAAGCTGTTTCTTGGAACGGCATCGTGCGGATATGTTACGGTGATAAGTTCGTAAAGCATTTTCAGTTGGTTGAAAATTCTGCTGAAATGTTAAGTGCAAAAGCGAGGTTTCTTTTAAAACATTAAAAATAACCTTCTTTTTCTAGTTAGGCGTTATCTATGGCAATCATAAGGCACTTCTACATTCGACGATGATAGCAGCAGAAAATCAAACTTTTGCACCCTTAACCTGGTTTTTGTCACGGGCTTTAGCTGAGCAAGATGGGTATTGTCGCCTGCTTTATTTGTTAAGTCACGCATTTTTACGCATCAAAAATAACCGATAGTGTAAAAAAAAAATAAATATCGAAGTCCTGTTTTGGTTTTTTGAGCCTCCTTGCAATCGAGAAATAAGTAAATGAACAAGTATAAAATTGTCTCGAGTCTCACTTTAACGACGGGATTGGTCCTTGACAGTGTGGCTAGTGTTACCTCCGCAAAGTGTTCATTGTTGCGACGAGAGAGGCAGGCTGAACTATGCATGATTACAAACAACACACTTACAATGTGTTACAGATTCGCGCATCGTTCCCGTTGTCAAAGTCGACATATGCCAGCCTTATACGGTGGGATGTGCCGACTTGCAACTGTGGGAGACATCGCGCGACAAGCATCGCAAGGATCGACATCCGAAGAAGACCCGGGTGTCTCTTTGGTGACAACGAAAGATCACCTGAGACCTTCCATTGAACACACACCTGGACCCCATTTCTCTAAACGACATTTTCTCGCAAACACTCCTGGCACGTTTGAATCTTTGATCCTAAACCGGATTCCAACCTAAACTGTCTAGGTCCGAACTCGGCACGTATCTTCGTACCTGAGGGGGCGTAAACATCTTACGTCTCGTTTCTCTGTGTCCTGGACTCTCCAAAGTCCAAGTACTGCAGTCCTCGCTGAACTCATAAAATGTCACCAACTCTCATTTTGCCGAGTAATGCCTCGCGCAGTAACAAAAACGGGGGTGCTTATCGCGGGAACACTTACGGAACGTCACGGTGCGGTTAATCCGACCAGGTCAAGATGCGAGATCTCACACCACCACCGCTCGTCTTGTCGTCTGGAAGCTGGTCTTGAAGGGTTCCCGAAGAGAGAAAGAGAGAGATAGAGGGAGAGCTCGGCTTTGCAGAGGGACTCCAGACAAAGACGCGTGCTCGCGTCGCCGAGCAACGCGCATAAAGAAAGGGAACTTTTTGACTTGTCATCGTTCTCATTCCCTTTCCAACCCGTAGTCTCTCAGCATCTCCACGAGCCGCGTTGGGCAGCGCTCCAGCGTTGCCATTTGAAGCTTTTTGACAGGGCGTTAAATATGCCTGGCTGCAAAGAAAAGCAAACAGAAAGGGAGGGCTGCAAAGGCAAGCGTGCGTGAGTGAACCCTGTCTGAAATGCCCTCTTGACGATCGCGAGAGAGCGGACCGGGAATGGTAAGGGTCTCAAGTGGGACAAGGTCGGATCACCCAGGCAGCACGATCAGGGGAAAAGCACTGCTCGGTCCACTACCCGTTTGATCTGTTATAAATATGCGGGTTATTCAATTAGACTACTGCCGAATTATTTTTTTTTTGTTATTGTCTCGCAAACATCATTTCACGTCACCGACAAAATGGACCAAGGTAAGATTTTACTTTTCTCGTGGACCCTGATCTGTTGTGGTCAATGATAGGTTTAGGTTGAGTCTTTATTTGACGCCTGTTTGGATCAAACATGCAATATTTCCAGCCGCACTTTGAGATTTCTCGTTCTGTCAAAGCCCCAATACACCATCTTCCCTGTTCTGCCTGATTTGGAACAAGTAAGGAAAACAAATATACCTAATCCCTGCAGTTATTTGCCCTGACTTAACGCATTTGAGGCATATGTAGGCGTTTCCGAGCTTTGTGTGTTTTTTTCCCCCAAATCAAGAGTTTAAAATTGCGTATTGGTTTTCTTACTAAAAAAAAAAGTATATATAGAATAAATATTGCGTTTTGTTCTAAGCGATTTTAATTGTATGGGTATCAAACACAAAATAACATTTTTTTCCTCGTAAGTATTCCAATTTTTAGGGTGCTTTTCTAGTACCTTCCGCTTTCAGCATTTCTTATGCCGATAGTTACATGGCATGCTATGCGAAGTTTTGTACTCAGTCCTGGCTCAATATTTGATGCTGTATGTACCAGACTTTTTTTTTTATTATCATGGGAGTCATTGGGCTTAACCTGTGAAATATGTCCATGTTTGGGGTTTAAGTATGCATTCACCATTCAACGAATTGATTTCTGGCGAGAGCCATTTTCACTGTTCGTTTGTGTGACGAATGTAGTGCTCACCAAATCGACAAAATCACGCGTTCCAAGTTCGGCGATTGCATCATGAATTGCTGCGGCGCCGCTTGGTAAGCATTGAAATAGTCTGCACTTGATAAGAGTGACTGAACTCGATCAATTAAGTTTATAGTTGTTAACCCATGTTTGGAGTGAAAACCACAGTGAGAGTGCGAGCTAGCAGCTTTGAATCCGGTCCTTGCATGGATACGCTTGTCGTAGAGTAGTACTTCAAAATAGCGTCAAAGTTTTCAATCGAAAAGCAGTCAAGGTTGTACATCCTTCGATTGCAAGGAATTCATTCACAAAGTGTCAGCAGTCACAGGCTTTCGTGTTAAAATGTCGCCCATGTGGGTGGCTTCACAAGCAGTAAACAGGCGGCGTTGAAGAGCGCCCCAGAAGTGTGTAAAAGTTTTTACATAATTTTGAAAAAAAGAAAAAAATACTGGAGACGACGGACGAAGAAGGGGACAAACACAAAACGTCTCAAACGCAGCTACTAAACTTTATTGACACTCTACGACTATGCGTAACAATCTATTGATTACTTAAAATTTGAAGTAGTTGCGTTCTCTCTTTTTACATATGACTAATGTCCACGACAAACAGTAGGGAGTCACATTGTCGACAACAGTTGGCACGCTTCGTTTCCTTGAAAACCGAGACGTCAAACTTCCGTGTACTCCATATAACATTATCGTAGCATATCTTTCCACGGAACCTTTTTTTTTATATATACATATTTTATAGCCATATAGACGACAACGCTATCTATGGTGTAGCAACTAGACGCAAAACGACTTGTACGCAGTCTTACTAAGTTTCATAACATGAAACTGGAGATCATGCCGGCAACCAGAAGTAGGGCCTTCCTCTCTGGAGAAAAATGAGACCTCATGGACAAGAGCGTTGACGTACAGCTATGAGTCAGACTCCGCGCTTTTTTATGTTGTAATTTTGTTTCTTCTGGCGCTTTTCGTTAAAGAGTCTCGCTCGAGCTCGCGTGATGTAGACCTGCTGTCTTTGCCGCGACCGCTAACTCAAAGCTCGGTTGTCAACCTTGAAACGTGACGCCAGATGCTGCAGGCCGTCGAGTACTCGAGTGGGTGGATATGTAAAACGACCATAGAGAACGTGCGATAGAGCGCTTAAAAAAAATCCGACATTCGATGGGAATGGAATTTAAAAATGAATGACGATAACAAATATATGAAATGCACTAAAATGCACTTAAGATCTATACTGTATAAAATGGATTTATTAAAATATGTATTATGCAGATTCTGTCTTTACCTACATCCCTCCTCAAGCTTAAACGCGCCGACACAAAAATGCGTTTCGAAGTTTTTAACTGCGCTTCAAAAGGGAAGAACTCTTTCCTTCCGGGTGCTGCTTCTCTGCACTGCAGCCCTTAGCAGCCCTGCAGTCCCGCCGTCTAACCGCTCTCAGAGTCGTTACCGTCCAGTTGAATGGCAGAGCATTTGTTGGGGAGGGCGTAATTAAGACAAATCAACCGCTCTATTCAGTTCAATTGAAGTTCCCACAGGGGAAAAACTTGAGCGCAAGACGCTTTTTTGTTTAGCTGCAGGAACTCTGGATAGTAAAAAAAAAAAAAAAAAATAAACTTATTAATAAAGACTCTACTTTGCATACCATGACGTCACGAGATCTGGTGAATGCGAAAGGAATTACCACTACCCTAAGCCGGTCATATTGAGCTTCTCTTATGGTGCTTCGTTTTGGGCGTATACATAAATCACTCGACATGGCTATAACTAGGGTTCCGCGTTTTCGGTTTCTATTATTTCAAAATTCGGCGTACTTTTTTCGGTGTTTATTTTAAAATTAAATTTTCGTTTTTTTTCGGTGTATATTTATGCCCAAAAAAGTGTATCGGCTTCTTTCGGTGAATTAAAATAAACACTAACGGACACCGGATCAGACGGTCCTTGTAGCTTTGATATTTGTGATCACTCAAAGAATAACTGCACAGATAAATTGAAAAAGAAATCGATACTTTATTTGGCAAATGTGTGCAACTCTAAAAGAAACAACAAAAAAAGACGGAAGTACAAACAAGTCAGATATGGACCCTATGCCCAAAACACATCTTTACTTTCTGTACATCGGGATTACGTGATCTTATTATAGTACACACACATGTACTTTCCCAGGTTTTCTTCGTTGATCCGCACTTTTTCTTTTTTGTTAATATGACCGTGAGCTTCGAGAATGACCTCTTAACGCTTACACTGGACACTGGCGGGCTGAGGAGATGAAGCGCTGCCTGAGCGAAAATCGGCCAATCAACCAGTTGTGACCGCCAAAAGAGACACGGTGCGACGTTTTGAAGCACAGCACAACATGCAGAGCTTGCATCCAGTCTTCCTTAGAACGAGTTTGAAAACAGGCTCGTACATGGCAAAGTCATGGGGAATTTCGGACTTCAAGTTCCGATCGATGATGCGCACATTAAACCATAACGTCGTGATGGCATCCGTGTATCCCATACATTCGGACACGTTTCGGTCGGCACTGTCGTTCCACTTTTTCGCCACGGCTCTGCGGTACGACTGGAAGGTCAAAGTGACCTTTTCCGGTTAAAACTGAATTTTAGAAAATGAATTCGACGTACTTTTATCGGTTTTTATTGGTTTAAGTCGAAAATGGCGAACCTACAAACTGACCTTTTTCGATTAAAACCGAATTTTTGAAAATGGATTCGGCGTACTTTTATCGGTTTCTATCGGTTTAAACCGAAAACTCCGAACCCTAGCTATAACGCCCGCAATTCACATTAGTTTTACAATCCCCATTCTCCTTTCCTATATGAGATAATTTCTGTTAAGCATAAAGAAAGAAAGAGAAAGAGAGAGGGAGAGAAAGGGTAAAGGATGTCGTGGAACGTTTGTCAGCCTTTGAACGGCGTCGGTAATTTCATATTTCGCACACAAGACCCTTGCCACGCGGGGATATTTAATGAAATTTAGCCAAATTTCATTAAGCCAAGCACCGTATTCGATCGCGATTAGAACTTTGCGCGTACCACTTGGCATGCGCTTGACACCGTTCCAAAATGTTTACAAATTCACAATTCAGATTGCGTATACGTGCCGTGCGTATACGTGCCGTATACGCACGTATACGCACGTATACGTTCGTGCGTATACGTGCCGTATACGCACGAAAGTTGAAAATGGCACCGGCCAGAAGCCTGTTTCTGGACGAGAACGGGAGGGAGGTCTTTCACTTGTGCCGCTCTTCCAGCACAAGCTTCTTACCTTCGATAATACTTGAGCGCCCCATGAGCTTCGAGCGTGCTGGCGCAGCCAAATCACGACGAAGGACAACAAGCGCGGGACGGGCTTCCGAAAGAGACGCACCTGGCGAGGAGATCGAATTGTAGGGGGCGCTTTGTCCAGTTTCTTTTCCGCAGAGCTAGGTGCTTACCCGACCCGAGGCCTGTGGATTAAAATTCTTTTGCGCCATCTTCCTCGATCGATTGCCGGGCGCAGATTAAGCGTTCGGTTGGGACTTGTGTTCAACTGGTACTTCACTGACTGAACACGAGAACCCGACGAACGCTGACAGCCTGAAGCAGCGTTTTGGCTACGCCAACCGAGCGCTGCGTCGTAAACACAAACGAATAATTCATGTTGACGTTGACCCAATGGTTTTAGTTCTCGACCTAGCCTCTGGTAGCGCGACGGTTAGATATTTTCACCAGTAGTTCCCCGATTCTTTAATTTGCATGCTTTTGATGCATGCCCTTGGCTTTTGGCCTTTGAGTGATGCTCGTGTGACCCCTGTACCCGAAAACAGAATCAAGATCTGATTCGCAAGTCGCATCGAATGTAATTTCGAGAAATGCGATTTGAAATGCCCGTGAGCAAGGAGTATGATGCGCCGTTACACGTCATTTGAGCGAGAGGCCAATCAGCTCGCTATCCCGACTCTGCGCGTTCCACCCGGCATGCGATGGAACCTGGTTGGCTGATTCTTTAACTGCCTTCAAGCGGAAAACATAGTTGAAATGCCCTATGGCGAGTGCATGACGTTAAACCACTGTCATGTGTAATTACCCCCCCCCCCCTTTCCCAAATCCCCAAACACATATAAAGTGCCCCTCAAACTTAACGCCGCCACTTGGTTTCGCAAATATTGATCCATTCAATTTTATTGCATGCTATCCAAACATGAAATGATCGCTGCAGCTGCTGGAATACCTTTCCCTGGTTAAGTTTTCATCGGGGACGCAAATCTTCAACAGCCATTTTGACTGCTGTTCAGGAATAGCTCAAAAAGTGAAGAAACCGAACCACCTCGTGGCGGCGTTAAGTTTGAGGCGCACTGTACATATAAAATACATCTATACCAAGAATGCTCGTGAACGTTTGTGAAAATATTAACCGGACGAAATTTGTCCTCGCGCTTTGTTCTTCTTTCTTCCGTGTTCGTCCCTTTTGTGCGCCATACTCACAGCTTTAGACATTTAACATGTCTCAACTTCAGTCCTCACAACATTCTTTTTATGAATCTCCTAATCTCTGCCAAGAAAACATTAATAAAAATTTCTGCTTTATAAAGTCAATTCGGCTTTTTAACAATGATGCATAAGTCTCTCTTTCTCCCTTTTTACAGCGCCTCGCTTTTTTGTTTTTTTTTCTTTAAATAAGACACTTGTTTTTGTTGGTTTTTATTGAAAATTCAGCCCGAGCGCAGTCCATCAGCACAGATGGTTCCGGAGTAGAGTACAATATAATTTGGGCACACCTCCACCGGCACGGGCTACAGGTCCTTTTTCATGACGTGAAAGGCGACTGCCTTGACGCCGCTGAACAACTCTTCGCCGGTCGGATTGATGAATTCTCTCGGGAGAATGAAGCCAAAGAGGCCGCGGTCACGCAGCTCGATGACGAAGCTGTGTTTGACCTTGGCCTTGTCGTAGACCCAGTCCAGCGCCGCTCCTGAGGTCACATCTCAAAGAGAAACATTTCCTCTGAGCTAAGTATGTTGAATATTCACGAACACGCTGCTAAAGGAACCATGGAACGATATTGAGTTCGTATTTTGCTAGCTGAATACCGCCTTAATGGGGACAAGATAACTATTACATTCAAGGTAGAGAGCCAGACACGTAGCTTTTTTATCTGAAACTTCGAAAATAAAAACCGACTATTTTTTTTTTTCGTTCTCTCGTTCGGAAAGCTGAAAGCTAGGCGCGTGACTGTAATAAAGATCGGAGCATGAACTGACAAGAAAACATGACAGATATGCGATACAAAGATGTCGTCACATAAAACAATAGTAAACCATTCTAGTATGCCTATTATACGGAAGAAATTAGATAGATCTGTCAGGCAATTGCACACACGACAGCAGCGTGTAAATGCCAAAAATAACTGACGTTCTTCTTCGAAGATTTTTTTTTTTAATTGCAATTGCAGTAGTCGTTATTCTCACTTTTCAGTGAATTCATGGGCAGTTCGCTTGCACAAATAGTGTCCCTCAATCTTCGAGAGATATTTTTGAGCTCAGAAAAGCGCAACAGTCTGCGATTTTATACTCACAGAGGGCCTGTCCCGCCGTCCCGTGGCGGTAATAGGCGCTGTTTTTCTTTCGAATGGAGGTCACGAGCTTTTCCAGCGCCTCGTACTGAAACCAAGGTGGGAGCACATCTTGCCTCGCTCCTATTTTTGACGTGAGAAGTCGAGTGTTATAATACCTGGTCCTTGTAGTCCGACGTGTAGCCCTTGGAGTAGCCGTACGGAATCATGACCAGTTGGCTGAACGAGTGCAGGTTGATGTAGATCCTGAGCCGGTCTTTCACGTTGTTGATGCCGTCTCGGATCGCTCGACTCTCGGCCTCGGAGAACGGAAATATTCCGGCGTAGTTTTCGGCGCACGGGTTGGCGCTGGATCCGGACACTACAAGGACAAAAACACATGTATGGGTGAAAATAGTATGAATAAAACACCTTAACAGAAACTTCTGACCATGTGTAGAACGCGAAAAAATAAGACGTGCTTCTCTCATATTTATTGCTCGCAGCATGTACGCAATTTAAACTGCAGGCGAGTTTTACAGCGGAGCTATTAAGGGCTCGTTTCCCCAGGATCGTGTCCGCCAGCAAACAAATGATGACACAAAACTCTGGACAGCTACCGTCGCTCATAGATGGCGGCAACCTTTCTAGCTTTCCACTCTGGCTTGCCAACTTGCGGCCGGCCATTACTTCATTCCCACCATAAATAAAGCTTCGCTGGTCTTCCTTCTTCACCTGAGTGGAAAGGCTGGAGGTTTTTTTGTTTGTTTTTATATTAACAAGACAACTTAAGTTAACATCGGTTTAATCTAAGTTGTTAGAGCAGGGGACTGAGCTTGACAACTGCCAACATTTCAGGTACTTTTTTTCAGTATGCTCCGACGTATACTAGGAAAATATCAAAGGTTGTTTTATTATTGAGTGAGTAAGAGGCCATATGAGCATGACACTGTAAATGACCAGCACTCACAGCCAAAGTGTACGTCGAAATTTCTGTTGGGGTCGACTCCACGACAAAGGCTTCCTACGTTTCGTATCCTGTTCTTGCGCCATAGCCGGTGCTGCATAAAAGAATACAATAATACACTAGGGTGTATTTACTGGCGGCCATATCTGAGTGCGTAGCTGCTCAGCGCCTACTGGAGGCGAGCTTACACAGCCCTTTTGCAACGTGTTTTACACACCATCAAGATTGCCGGTATTAGGGACATATGTGTGTGAGCTCCTCCTGAGCATGTCCAGCGGACGGTGCACTCAAATATGCCGTCCAGTGAATACCTTCTATAGGTGGAATGGCGGTCCAATTTACAGAACGTTCACATGCTCCTGCTTGCGTTCCGAAGCGCCAAAGATGCATTTTGAAACACTTGCTCGCCGTATAGTCAGAGACAGCTTAAAAAAACCAAGGGTGCGGCGATTCCGAACATTTTATTATTGCTCCTTGGCCAACGGGATTGCGACATATAGCTGATAAAAACGTTAACGAATGAATCTGAAAGCAAGATGTCTGAAAATATTAACCCTGCGTTTCCTAAAATGTGAGTGACGATAGGTACTATATATAACCTTTGGTTCATGTGAACTCGCAATTCATTTTTTTTAATGCGTTAACATTAGTGCCCTGGTACATGCGCTGACCTTGGACTAGTTTGGACTAACCAAAGTTCGCAACGTCGCCACGGTATGGCGCCACATCCGCACTGTTTCTTCTTAAACGGCGAGGAGCTCATTACACAAATGAGGGACACTTGGGAGAGGGCAAACTTTCACATTTTAAACATTTCTTCTAAAATGGCACAAAGCTGTCGTTATCATATACTATTGAATTACCGTAGTCCAGGTGTATTTGTAGCCGTCCGCGTTGATCACGGGGAACATGTACCAATCAAAGGTGTCGATGAGTTTCGTGACTTGGCTGCTGTCGTTGTAGCTGTTTAGGAAACGGTCAATGAGAAAGAGCGTCGAGGCGGTGGAAATCCACTCCCTGGCGTGCGTGCCGCCGTCGATCCATATGGCCGGTCGGGTCGAATTGCCTCCGGAACTAATCTGCGTCAGAGCAGCGCGATTAACGGGCGGAATGTTTCACAACCGCAAGCCTCTTGCTGTTTAACCAACGTTATTACGAATTTTATGTCAACTGAGAAATTTCTACGTACAAGGATGGTCATATCCATTTTTAATATCTCACACTTAAATATTTGAGTAATACGGTAACACTTGAAGCCTAGAAATACATGATATGAGGTGTCCACAGGCAGAATATGCGTCTGTAAAAGACCTTCGAATAAATTGACATTTTCCTTCAGATAACTTTCTAGAATGCATTGGAACGTTGCACCTGTATGTGGGTATAAGAATCTTCCGTGATTATAATCGTGAGTGTTTTCTTACGCTCCAAGACATAATTGTTGACCTGACTTGTGGAATACTTCGATAGAGCTGCTGTAGTCACGAGACGAAATCGTTACAGAAAATAAATACACAAGGCTCACTTTGAGTCCCCGAATAGCGAGTCCATCCTCCGTTTTGCCAATGGTAATCCGGCTCGTAAGGTTGGGGTATTTCTGCGCTGCAGCATCCAGATAACCATAGATCTAAACACAAATACAGTATTTCAGTGAACGTAAATTTTAAGCGTTAAGCACATTTAACATTTTATATTTACATTGATGGAGATCAAGATAAATATAAAGAAAAGGTTATCTGCGGAATGGATAGAAGGAATGCAAAGGTTTAGCCCCTACTTCATCCAGAGTATGGTACATGTCTATCCTGAAGCTTCCGGAGTCTCGAGGTCCCAGATCGTCATCATCGTGGTTTTCGCTTCTCTCTCGGTCAATCCATCTTCGTGCGCACGAAAAAAAAAAAAAAAAGAAATGCAAAGAACGTTATTGTCAATGATTACGGACGCAACTTGTGAGTGATATCATTTGTGTGATTGAGAACTCACTCTTGTAAATTCTCGGTGAGAATCACGTACTGGATTCCACTAGATTCTAATTGCTTCTGGAACGGAATCGCTTCTTCTGGCGGAAGTCGGATGGTGACGTTTTGATGAGGAGACACAGGCTCTTCCCAGAAGTCCAACTTCCACGAGGGATTGAAACGAAATATGAGTGAAAACAAGGCAGTTTACCTATGTGACGTTTGTTTATGTTTCACAGTACCACTGAGCCCGGCAGCAAGGTGTTATACCTCATCGTGAAAAGTTTTGAAGGCCTTAGCCGCCTCTGTGTGGACAGTTTTTTTTTTGTGAGAACTTTATAACAATCTTCGGTAATTAAAATCTGATTGTCACCTTTCCCGAATGTGTTCCATTTGAGAGCGCAATATGGTGCCACGAAATTTTGAGAATAGTTTCAAATTTTCGCCGGGCTTATTCAATATACGCACACAGTTTATTTAATATATAGTGCCTCCTTTGCACAATGTAACTCGGCATTACTCATCGTCAACATGTCGTGTTTTTTTTTCCTTTTTATTATGAAATAGCGAGTCGATGCACACACTATCGATTCGAAATTGAGATCGAGTGGGTGCTCATGACAAGTAAACGTCGCACATCCGACTATAACGCAACTGGGACCGTAAGAAGCATACACATATATAACTGTTTCTAAGTGTCTAGAGTTTTTTTTTTTTCCCTGATTGAAAGGTACAGTTTTCCACTTGCCTGGGTGTTGTTTGTCTGCAGCTGTCGCAGCAGCTGCACAGACGTCATTGAATCCACAAATGCTCTGACCAGCCGATGACTTCGTTTTATATGGCATTTGGAAGAATGAAAAAGTATTTAAGACGATGAAAAAAAAAAAAAAAAAAGCTATCATAAACCTCCGATCACTTTATTTACGCACAAGAAAACCGTACGAAATAGTGTCAGACTCGTTTGCTCATTTACCACTTATAAGCTTAGTTTATTGCTAAATTGATTGAACCTGAGTTATAATATTGCACGTAAGTGATCAATAATATAGCATAGACTTTATAAAGATGTAAGGGGATACTCTAATTGCCCAGTGGGCGAGAATGAATGTTACATGCAGAATATACCTGTTAGTGGCTTAAACTATACTGTGAGGTTTTTAATATCATCGTCATACCCTGCGAAGCTGACTCTGTTTTCACACTTGCAGGGCAGGAACACAGCAAGCAAGATGATGAAATCCAGACGCACTGGTGCACGCATTTCTGTTTATAATCGAAGACCTGCACGACATAGGAATATGGGTTGAGAAGTGGCAATAATAATATATTACGACATTTGGTCACGGCATATCGAACTATATCAAAACAATTATGAACGTATAATTTGCATCAGGGTTTATCACATCACTGCTAGAACTAAAAATTTATGATTTGTTGAGCTCCGTGTCAAGTTGGTAAAAACATGTCATAATCAAGGTATTTCAATCATATTAAGCGTCTGTGTAATTTTCGGGTCATATGTCAAAATAAAGTGTAAGTTTTAAGCAAAACAAAATCCCCCTCCCCCCCCCCCCCCCAAAAAAAAAAAAAGAAAAAAAAAAAAAGAAAGTTAAAATATATTTTACCGGTACTAAGTATATCTGAGTAACTCCATTACTAGCGTATGCCGTACGATCTACAAAAACTCGCATTTTCTCAAAACCAAATCTAAAGACAGAATTGTCCGTTAGCATTGCAGCTCCAATAACAAGTGAGGTTCGATCACGAGTCTCTCTAGGATACAGAGCACAGCCGGACACTGTTAGGCGAGTGTACACAAGATACCCCGAAGGCTGAAATGTAAGCCGTACCTTTTTGTTCTCCTGCAAAGACGCGTCCGTGGGTAGGTGGTGCGGGCAGTGGCGCAGCAGTGGCACTCAACGGTCGACCGAGGCTGACTCGCGGGTCGCCAGCAGTGAGACGGGGGAAGTCCCCCGGAAGGCACGCCCTCATGAATACGCACGGGCAAAAAGATGAGGCACGTGAACTGGGGACAGGTTTTTGACCCGGTCGCCTGCCCGTGAGCACCGCTGCACACCCGCCTCTGACACGACGCTCCCGAAGCGGTTTGTCAACTTTGAGGCCGTTCATGTCACCCAGAACGCCCAACCTGATGCTTTTCTTTCGTTTTTCGGTTTCTTTCCCCCAATGCGCCTCATTGTTTTTCTAGCCTTGTTTCCGTTTGTTGATAGCGTCCGTAAGTGGGTGTCGTCTTTCGGTTGATTTTTTTTTTTTGGAGGGAAGGGGTTGCAGGAATGGTATACGTTCAATGCTCCTGGTTCGATTTACTAGGTTTCCGACATATTAGCCTAGTTCAGTTTACCAATGGAGGGCACGAGACACCGTAGCCAGTGACAAGGTTGAGCAGTGGCATGTATTAGGGAGTTTTAGTAGATCGTTTTCAAAGGCCCGCCACCGCTATACGGGCGCAAGCTTCAGAGCCTGCATCGAGGTGGCAGCGCGAGCTCCCGCTACAAATAGCGTGGCCTCAAAACACGGTCTACTAAAACTCTCTAATAACACGTTACGGTGTCCGAACCGGGGTTTCTTTAGTTTTCTGAATGTGGGTCGCACTAATTTTCGCGAGAGGTTTATTACTGCGCGGGTGTAATTGAAATTTTGCACTGCAGCTAGCATATGTCGCCCAGTTGTTCACCGATGACAACTACGGGCATAATTGTATCATTTGCATAGTTCTTCCGAATGACGTACGCCAAACATTGAGGACTCCGAATCTGATAGATTTAGGTCTTGGGCTGTCATCGTGTGAGTCCATACCACGCGGTCGACACTGCCCTGTTTACGCTGGCGGCGTGGACGTGAGGCCGATGTTAAAATTTTGGAATGGAAAGTCTTGTTTCGGGGGGGGGGGGGGGGGCTCGCAGAGTTGTTTATGTCCTTGCACACTCCGGGGAAATGTGAGCTGAAATAGTCGAACTTCGTTCAGGAGCCCCGACCGCCTGTATCATATTGATGAGCTGTATACAGTCATACATGCAAAACACTCGTGCCCAATTTCGCTTTTTACCGTTACGTCCCGTGGATTATGGGACCTGCGATCCGCTGTTCTCAGATTTCAGCTCACGTTGTCCAAGATTGCGGTTGCTATCTGTAATCATATCCAGATAAGCTGACTGACTTAAGGCTGAAACGCATATGCGAGAAGCCACCGGAGAATCGGACAGAAATCGGAACATGCGAAAATTGCCTCACGCTTCTGAAAAACGATATAATTCGTAATTTGCAGTCTGCGCGTAGACTGCAAATATGGTTTCGTTAAAAAGACATATTCGCTGTTTACGTAATGCAAAAATTCCCGCGCGGCTTTTTTTTTTATGTTGTGGAACTACTATTTTAGGTTCCGATTTCCGTGCGTTTTTTCGGTTTGTCATCTTTAAATTCATTCCATGCATTCGTGTGTCTTTTTTTATAAACGTATAAAATGATTCATACAACAGATAAGCTTAACAAATCTTGCTGCTGTTCAGCGGAGCAAGAAACATTTTTATTCACGATAGAAACGCCGCCCCATCCAAGACCATAACCACCCGTGTTATTTGTTGCCTAGCATAAAATACCACTGCCAATTTATCTATGCCATTTTTTTTATACCATGCCGACATAGTTTTTTGACCCAACAAGTGTGCTCTCATATTCACATGAGGAGGCTACTATTCATTTCAATGTATTCGTCCTCCGGGACTTTTGTGATGTATGCCTCATTGCGCAAAAGTTTATTCAAGGACACGATTTTGGTGTGCCACCCCCTAATTGTTTTGAAGGTTTTGGTTGAACTATTTGCTTTTATCTTATAATAAAAGGATCGTCTGTTACTAATAAGAAAACTCTGATGGAATGTGAACTTTGAAGTATCACGATGAGTACACCGTGCAGTAATAACTTTTGCTTCGATCCTATACCTTCCCCCTTTGAACACGTACAGATACTTTGCAGGTCAAAATAAGTAAATGGATGAAAAGTTTACTTCCAAGACGTGGTCACAGAGACAATGCAGATTGGTGATAGTTACAAACGAAAGAGCTGAATGACTTGGATTATATGAGAGCCCCCTCTGTCAGAAAAACCGGCGTAATCGCAAAAAAAAAAAAAAGACGGATCTGGTTTAAAGATCCGTTTTGGAGAGCTTTTTATTAACTATAAGCGTGCTTAATTTTCTTGTCTAGTGGGTTGTTAGGTCAGTGAAATTACCTAGATACCAAGAGCAAGATGAAAAACGCACATAATGGAATTTCTCAAGTTCCAAGACAGAAGCTCAAGAAGGACTGAGATCTGCGCGAAGGTTACACCTTCCGCAAAGTAATATCGCCGTCTTCCCCATTCCTTACACCAGCCCGCCACCTGGATAGTTTTTCACAGCAACACGCAGGCTTCTTAGTATGGACGAGGCTGCGACGAAGTATATGCGACACATTCACTGGATTGTTTTGTTCAACTCTCTTCTAGCGATGAATTTGCCAAGGGCTTTGACGCCCTCGGTGAATTCGTCAGATGTAGGCACGATGAGGAAATTTGGCAGCAGGAACCCGAAGCGTCCCTTGTCCCGCAGTTCCACAGCCAAGGAGTACTTGATGTTAGCCGAGTCGTAGACCCAGTCAGTTGATGATCCGGCCGCCGACCCTAAAAGATAAAAAAAGTGGAGTGCACGTAATCATCTCGTGTTCATCTCGTCCACTTTGGCGCCGCAGGCCTCACCTAGGAGACTTGAGATTGTGCCGACTTGGTAGTAGACTCCAGACTTGACTTGTATGGCCCGCGAGATGGCACGTGCAGCCGCAATCTGCGTGTACAATACGTCGTGTGTGAAGATCGCGCTCGTTCAAAGGTGCATGATTAGCAAACCTGGTCAGCGTAGTCCTTTGTGTAAGTGCCGCGGCCGTGGCCATAGGGAACCATGATGAGCTGGCTGTAGGAGTGAACCGTGACGTAGGCCTTGGTCCTGGAGCCCAGACCTACAAGCGCGTCGCGTATGGCTCGGCTTTCTGTCTCCGAGAACGCCGCTGACCCGCGGTAGATGTCCGAGCATGGATGGGAGCTTGTACCTGGACCTGCATAAGAACAGCGAAGCACCAAATAGCCTTATCGGTTTTCGCAAGGATCTCTTAATTTTTCTTTCGTTCTTCGGGCTTAAATAGAGCGCTGGTTGTTCATTCCTTCAAATTGAGCATACTACGTATATTACGCACCAGTATCTGTTTGGTGCTTCTAGGATTGCTTACACCACACTGCTAATTGAATATAGTTAGCAGTGTAGTGTAATTGAAAGTGTTTAGCGTAGATTTGTTCGTGTATTGTTTGATCGTTATTTTCAACCGAATTAATTCTATAGTTATGAGAGAATTTGTGAACTTGTGAAGTTAGTCTCGTTGCACGGCAGGAGAACAGTTCGTGGACTGACATATTTGTATAAGATTGTAAATGGTATAATTGATTCACCAGAGTTACTCAGTCACATCTACTTGCACGTTCCTCGAAGGTCTAGTGGACTTGAGACTTTGTTTTATCCGACCGATTTCTACCATGTTGCACCCATGCACGCCTACAAGTGACCTATCACCATTTAGAACAGATTTGTGGGAATGTTAGTCTTGATATTTTTGATGAAGAGCCTAAATTTCTAAAGTGTGTTGAGACTATTGTTTTGTCCTAACATTTCGATTTTATCCTGTTTAAAATGTTATTACTAATTGACTCATTGATAAGTGCACCACAAAGCTGTTGGTGGGTCACTCAAAATAAAAGCAAAACAAAACAAAACAAATAAAAAATAAAAACGGTATCTAAATGTAGAGAGTTGAAAATTTCCCCTCTAGGGGGGCCTATGTTTTACGTGGTTGGTTTGACATGGAAAAGTATCGCAGCGCTCCTGAGCTTCCGCAATAGACTAGGACGAATCCTCTCCTTTTAGAGGACAATCGGCGGAATATCTTTGTTGAGACTCCGAGTTACGTGTATGATTAATAAACGTCTTGGACACGCTACACCTCTCCAGCCGTAATTAGCACATCGCTGTGGTGCATTTTGAATTGTCACGCCTTGTTAGTTTCATAGCTGATTAAATGAAATTTTAATTGAGTGCGTCATTGTAAAGATGAAGTTGATTTTAGGGGCACGAGGCTATAGGCTCTAGTGGTGTGATAAAAATACATGTGTAACGCAAACATCTCCTTTTGTGAGAGGAGGCTAATTTGGAGTAACTAAATGGAACAGCGCGGAACATAGGACAGAAAGAACAGGACAACACGAGCGCTGCTTAATTTGGAGTGCCTTGCCTCCAAACGAAGCGGCGAAGTTTCGGTTAGGATCCACGCCTCTGCAGCCTTGCTTTCCCCCCGACCTGTTTTTCCTCCAGAGACGATCCTGGAAGTAAAGCATACGGCTTGTTTACTCAAACTAATTTGGAGTAAACGCGGGGCAATTGATCGAGAAACTATTCCTGAGGCGATACATCGTATATTACGAATGACACCCTTTTTGCGTGTTATATTCCAAATTGTTTTTCTTGAATAGACCCAGTCAACAGCCATTTACATCACCCATATACATTTATCGAGTTTCAACACTGCTAACTTCCCGTTGCAAGTCAGCCTAAAGTAGACACAACTACAATATTAAAGACAGGCGAGCTGGCGAACCTTCAAAATTACGAAAATCCAGGTCTTCGCTATGCTGTACTAACTCAAAGTTTTATATTTAAGAAACGAGGCCGAGAGTATTGTCTTAACGCGAGGAAAATAATGTTTTTATGGCATTAATAGAGCACATCATTGCTATTTCTACGTTTTATCATTGTATAGTATATTGATCCTTGCCTGTTATTTTTTTTTTCATTGGATGTTTTTCTTATATACAAGTTTTCTAATGAACATCCGTTTGCTCGGATGCAAACGTACACTTCTTGTTTAACTTCCATACACCTGCGTGCAATACACACGCGCCTGTCTCAATTGTCAAATGACGTAACTAAACTCCGGCATCATATCAACTACCGTTGGGGCGCATCAGGACATTGACTCACAGCGTGGAATGTGTAAGCATATCCGTCCGGGTTCACCACGGGAAAGACGTAAAAGTCGAAGGCCTGCATGAGTCCCGTGATGGTACTGTCCGAGCCGTATCCGGACGTCATCTTTCCGAGGAGATAGACCAGCGAGGCCGGCGATATCCATTCGCGGGCGTGGATGCCCCCGTCCAGCCAAATGACCGGCCGGTTACCGCCCGTGCTTAGCTGGGGAAGGAAGAGCGCGCATGTTACAAGCAGGCATTGCCCAGAGTTAACTCGCCGGGCCAGAGGGCAAGAACTGACTACGATGATACAATGCAGTGTTTGTGGGCCGAGCAATTAAATTATTGGTTCTCAAGTTTGGCACGGGCAGGAGACAGCGTTTGAGGAGGCACAGTGCCCGTTTGTAACAAACACGGTGCAAAACAGCAAGAACGCGCGGCAAGAGTGTAGGACATTGTTTGGCTTGTGACCCTTTCCATGTTTTTTTGTTTTTGTTTTTTGTTTCCTGTCAATTTCAGGACTAATACATTGTCGGGTTATATCTTTAGTTACAAGGACAAGACAGCGCCCTAATTGCTTACAAAGGCAACTTACACATCCAAAAAATTATATTTTCTCACCTGAAATGATTCGGCTGGTTCTCTTGACTGCACTGATACGTTTCCTGTCAAAATCCTTTGGCGTATTTATACCGCGGCTCCTTTTTTTCACCTCAATATATTTTACAAATAATCCAGAGTCGTCTATGTGGTCTTGTTTTCGAGCAGAAACTGGCTGGATAACGTGAGTTTCATTAAACACCGTCAGAGTGCAATATTGAGTGAACTTTGACTTTACAGAAAATGGAGAACCCTGTAGATATACTCAATTTTACCCAATCTCAAAATGAAGCCAAAGCAACAGGTTAGATGGACCAATGAGAACGCGAAAGTTATGCGATGTCACTGCGTTTTCGTTGGGGAATTCGGGGTATTAATTTTAAACTTACATATCCCCCGTCGGGCTTTTCTCCTACCGTGTGCCTAATGTAAGTTGGCTCGTATTAGAGTTCGCTCTTCTAAAAGGAGCGCACTGCAATTCGCACTTTAGGAGGAGCGTCTGCACGGCCAAGCGTTTCCAGCCTACTGATCTAGGTGGAGTTCAAGGATACTGCGTGACAAAGATGGTTTCTTTAGAGCAGGCGTTCTTCTTTTCTTCGTACATACTTATATACTGAAGCTAAACATATGTATTTCATCTTCGCAATGTTACTACGATTTTCAGAAGTTTTAACTTGCGCAAAAGCAACAACTCTTAAACCTGCGGTCTATGGAATTTGCCATATTTTCGTATACGCATGCCAAAACATTGTTTTCAGCACCTATTTTTTCCCATAAAAAGTGTGTTAATTCTTACGATAATTCCCTTGATTGGTCTTCCTTCTTGGGTCATTCCGATGCTTCGCACAGTGGCGATGTTGCTGTACTTTTGAGCCAGCAAGTCCAGGTAGCCCGTGATCTGATCAAAAGCAATACGAAGAACTTTTATCAAAAAAGAAAGAAAAAAGACTGCCACTAAAAGGGTATTTGTGAGCAGTAATAAAAGAAAGGATTGGCAGTCTACAAGCGGTGGAAGATTCTGATCAAAGGTAGTCCACCTGGCCACCATTCGATTCCCGATTCCTTATTCTTTCTTTTATTTCGCTACATAACAAGTTTACGTCAGCTTATGAACTTATAAGTATCCAGTATTATAAGGATACCTCTTCGACACGATGATACTTGTCGTATGCGAAGTTGCTGATGTCCCGTTGATCAAAGAAGACGCCTGGTCTGTTTTCATCCCTCTCCCTGTCCAACCAACTGGCGGGAGAAATGATGGACATTTTTTTTCCGTCAGTAATACGCCTTCAACATTATTTACGCCAAAAAAAATTGTGAGAGATTGGCATAGGTTATTTGGTTTTATCGCGAAAAGCGCTACGTGGACTGTGCAAGTTAAACATTTCAGCTTATAAAAAAAAAATCCTAGCTAGCTACGAATTCTAGTGTGTTTTTGTCCGATGATTTTGAATATCACAAGCACTTGGCCCAAAACATACCATTAGACGTAAAAAAAAAAATTGCTTGGCGTTATTTTTTAGTTTTTACCCACTGGTTTCAACTGCATCGCGATTGCAGCATTTTTGACTGCTCAGGTAAGGCTTGCGGAATGCGTGGAAATGTTAAGATCTCTGTGTAATTCTCCTCCTGCCGAACGCGCCCGGAAGGAGGGGCCTCAGCGCTATATTTAATGTGCTGTTGTGGTAACTTGGCGCACCAATCCGAAATATAATTTTGATATTCGTGATCCTGGACCTGGAGGTCGAATAAAGACGATTTAAGCGTTTTTTTTTTTCTCAAATACAGGCCCGTTTTAGATCCCCTTTAACGAACGTTTAAAATTCAACGATGTCCTGCGCACAGTAAACACTTCATTGCGATAATTTTTTTTAATGAAAACTGAATAATACGCAATTGATTAGTTACGGTGTATGTTCTAAGCAGTTCTAATATGATTACTCTGGCAGATGATTTAATACCTTTGAATGTCGTTCGTCAGCACGTAAAGTTTAAGGCCAGCCTTCGTGAGGTCTTCGGTGACTTTATCAACAAGGCCAGGGGGAACCAGAAACGTGACGTTGCGATTCAGCGTCGGTATGTTCCAGAAATCCACCTGCATCAGTTGAACACTCGTTCCGATTGAAGCTTCTTTATTTTTGCCTACTTACCTCTGGAATCTCCTGAAGAGCTGAAACAGCAGCCAGTGCCGCTGTGTCATTGCCAACGAACGTCGTAAACAGCTTATAACTGTAAATGCAAAATTTGTAAAATGGTAGGTACATGGTCTAAAAACAATGCTAAATTATTCGAATTTGACAGTTCTCTTTTTTTCAATATTTTGGGGATTTGACACTGCTAATGAGGTAACACATTAACGTGTGGTGTTGCTTACTTGGAGTACAAGCGTTTCCCTTGTTCTTTAGGAGTTTCGGTGGAGTTCGACGTATCTTCATGGGTGCTTTTTGGTAGCTTGGACATTTCTGCGGATTGTTCTTGTTCTTTGGAGGGTTTGGTTGAGCTTGCGTTAGCTTCAGTAGAATGTACTGGTTCTTTGGGAGCTTCCGTAAAGCTTGGCGCACCTTCTTTGTTTTCTTTTGGTTGTTGTTGGACTTCGAGTGTCTGATTACCCACTCCTGATTCTTTCCCAGGGGAAATAACATCCACAACAGGAGCAATGGCGGCGTCAAAGACAGGTTTCACCCTATCTCTTACAGCGGTGGCAACGCTAATCGCGGGTTGGGTGAGCCTTTTAATTGTCGTGGTAGGGTCAAATGGTAGCCCAGGCAGTCCGCTTTGTGACTGTGATGCATTTTTGGAAACATACCCAGTTGGAATAACAGTTTCAGAACTCGAAGGATTGCTCTCATCAATTTTGGGTTCCGCAGCAACTTTATCAGGAACCAGAGGGCTTGTCGTAGTAGCCAGGCTCTCGTTTTGCTTGTCTGGCAGAATTGTGGTCTCTTCTGGACTCTCCGCGCCCTTTCCGTTTGGCTGCTTACTGGGGACGTCACTAGGAGTTTCAGTACCCTGAAATGGTGGTTGTGTGGCGTTCGGTGATTTTTGTGCTCCTTCACCATCACCCTTTCCGGGGCTACTTGGCCCTACGATAGGAGATAGGGCCGCGCCGAACACTGGTCTAATTGTATCTCTCACGGTTGTGACCGCGTTGATAACGGGCCTCGCGATGGCCCTTATGGCTGAAAAAGGGTCGAAACCACTGCTGCCTCCGGATGTAGTCTCATTCTTCATTCCTGTTACCCCGTCAGTGCTTGCCGCCGATAAGGTTTGATTAGCTACCGCTTGGGGGGCGCTTCCTGCGACCACATTTTGAGTGCTCTCTGAAGCAGAATCCTTAGTTTTCGCGGGGACAGCAACGTTGGTTGCTGGGATTAGTGTTGCGGTGATTTTTGGGACGGCCTGCTGCTGTCCTGCTGCAGGCGGAAGTAGTTCGCTTTGAACCTCACTTTGCTGATCAGTTTCTGGTTTAGCAACATCCTCTTCAAGAGTTTTTAGAGGTACGAATTCCGCCCGAGGTGCTTCTGTTTGAAGTGTTTCTGGATGCAGCACTCCTGATTGAGCTGTTTCAGAGCTTGATTCGACCGTTTCCTCTTTCGAAGCTTCAGGTTTAGCGGACTTTAGTCCTGAGACCTCTGGTTTTGCAAACTGTGGTTTAGGGACTTCTGGCTTGGCTTCCTCTGTTGTGACATCATTTGGCCGAACTAGCTCATCTTTGGAGGCATCTGGCTTGAGTATAATGGCGTTTTCTGTCTGTGTGACCTCTGGCTTGAGCACCTCTGGAACAGTTTCCTTCGTGTTTTCTGTCTGGGTGACCTCTGGCTTTGCTTCCTCTGGCTCTGAGACTTTTGGTCCTGCGACCTCTGGTTCTGTGGCCTCTGGCTGTGCAACCTCTGGTCCTGCGACCTGTGGTTTAGCGACGTCTGGCTTCATCACGGCTACTGGGTCAGTTTTCTCTTTCCCTTGAACATTTGACGTCTCCTCTCTCTTATCAATTTTATGAAGTTTCGGTAATTTACCGTCAAGTTTTAAGGATTCAGCGTGCATCGTAGCTGTAGTACCCCGACTATTCTTCGTTTGAGACCTTGCGGTCATTATGGACCTCTGAGTTTTGACATTTTCATTTACTGTCGGTTTCGTTTCGTTCACGGAGACAGCGTGAGGGACACTCTCTAATTTGTGCTCTTCTCTTGGAACACTTGGGGTCGTCGCCGCTTTCTCACTATCATTTTTATTTTCATCATGCGAGCTTGGCTCCCAAGGTTTCGTTTTGGAAACTTCCTTCTGCTCGACGTCTGTCAAGGAAGGATGGCGTTTCTGATCATTTTTTTCTTTTTCGGACAGGAGGGTTGTGACGTCCTTAACTATTTCCACTGCGTCATTCACGGCGCCAAAATCTTTTACATCATCCACGATTCCGCTTAGAGCTACGTCAGGTCTCTCGGGTTTCGTTTCATTTTTCGAAGTGTGTTTTGTTTGATTTTTCTTAACATAAGGTTTAGGGAATTCCGTTATTTCGTGCCTTTCATCCGTTGGTGAAAACATAGACGTTGGTACCTCTGTAGTGAGGGGTGCCTTTGTAGAATGGGGTACATCAGTAAAGGGAGGTGCCTTTGTAGAAGTGGGTACATCTGTAGAAGGGGGTGCCTTTGTAGAAGGTGGTACCTCTGTAGAGGGGGGTACCTCTGTAGAGGGGAGTACCTCTGTAGAAGGGGACACCTCTGTAGAAAAGGGCACTTCTGTGGATGAAGGTACTTCTGGGGATGAGGGTACATCTGTAACAAATTTAATTTTATCACTTGGTGACGGAGGCGTGCCATCAGAGTCTACCAGTTTAACGGATGTTTTAACATGACTAACAGAAGCTTCGTCTCCGGTTTGTGTATTCGGCGATGCTGTGCTAACCCCGTCGACGGGAAGCTTGCTCGCGTGCCGAACTGTCGAAACGTCTGGTGGCCTTGTACTCGGCACTAACTGATGTTCTTGCAATTCTTTCACCTCGTCCACTACTCCGGAAGTGCTAGAATCTTTCTGGCTTTCTTGAAGTTGCACTGCTGGGTGTGGTTGTGTGACGCTTGCTGGAGGTTCTGAAGTTGTCGGAAATGAAATAACGACGCTCAACAGGGTATACCAACAGGCGAGTGCCAAGATCTTCATGCTTCGTTCTTGCCTCAGAGCGGTCTGGCAACACCTTAAAAAAGAAAGAAGGACAGATTATATACACACACACATATATATATATATATATATATATATATATATATATATATATATATATATATATATATATATATATATATATATATATATATATATATATATATATATATATATATATATATATATATATATATATATAAGAAGAATAAATCGTACGTTGCTGTTTTCACCAAGGGTTTTTTCTTCTCAGTTATATACCCACGCCTTCGACCTCCCGCCACCATGCCCGCTTTATATATATATATCTATATCTATATATATATATTTATATATGTGTGTGTGTGTGTGTTTTTATTCTTACACATTTGCTTAAAAAGACCGTGAAAGCTACACTAGTGCGGTTTGTGCAGGTGGGTTATACGGCCAGGCGGACATTATGTGGGTGGATACTCTTTGCTATAAGTCGGCTCATTAATTAAAATTCGTTAATTAACTTTTTAATTAGTGAAAATAGACACATTGTTCTAATTAGAAACTTACTGAGCGTCATCGAAAACCCCAAAATCAACTCTTTTTAGAACGACTTGAAGCTCGTGGGAAACTCGGGGGCGCACCAGAGTTATTACTCGTGCTGCAGGCGCAAAGCTAGCAGTGGCGGAACACGATGATAATCTCATCATCCGCGTTCCACCACTGCTAGCTTTGCGCCTGCTGCACGAGGGGTAACTTTGGTGCGCCCCCGAGTTTCCCACGAGCTTCAGGTCGTTCTAAAAAGAGTTGATTAAGTGGTTTTTGATGGCGCTCAGTCAGTTTCTAGTTGGAACAATATGTCTATTTTCAATAATTAAAACGTTAATTAACGAATTTTAATTAATTAGCCGACTTATCGCAAAGATTAGCCACCCACATAATGTCCCCCCTGGTTGTATAACTCACCTGCACAAACCGTATTAGTGCATTTTTTACGAATGTTTTGTAATAAATCTGTTCGAATTAAAATGGTACACCCGGTTTTCCTATCACGATCACGCAACCGTCATGAATACAAGAATTATAACCCCCAATGTGCCCTTGACCTTCAATTATAACTACTTGAAAAGAGCTGTCAAAAAGAGTCTTTAACGATGTGGTAATAATTTTATAATACCTGAAGAGCCCTGTCTGCCTTCCACTTACAATTGAAATATCAAATATGCTTGTGTATATTTATGCGATGAGACGGTTCGGTGAAGTATGGAGATTGATATATTCTTCTTACTTGCTCCAGATGGAGCATGCCTGCTGTTAAAATCGCTACATATATCACTGACTGTCATTGACTAGTTTACATGCATAACATGAGCTAGACGAGGTTCGGGCTTCGGCCCTTGCAGTTACAAAGGATGTCACACAAATTGTCATGAAGTAACACTGTTTATTTATATAAAAGATAAAATAATGTATGATAATTTTTTTTTCGGGATTCCATAAGAAAATCAAGCGAAAATCACCAGCGGCAGATGTCAAACAGTTCTATCATTTTAGACATTTTTGGATGAACTATATTTATTTCTATGTAAAACAATAGAACACTGATTTTGTTGGAGCACTGTATTTCTGCAACACTAAACTCAAATAACATGCATGCTTGCGGGTAATTTTGTTATGGTCGTCGCACTTTTTTTTTTTGTTGTTTCTGTGAGTTTGTGCCCAGGAGTCTTTCTCGACCATTCACTACAACTTTGTAACAATATTTTTTTAATATTTTTTTTAATGCGTTCACAAGGGATGGTAGGACCCTAAAGGGTACCAGCCTCAAACAAGTATAACAAAACGCCCTCTGACTCCCGTCCACTCGTCTCGCCAGCGAAAAGCATTGACGCGGGAACTCACATCTTTAAAACTCGAGTTCCCGCATTTTCAGAACCCTTTAATCCTGCTTTCTCAGCTTTTGGCAGTAACGTGGTTTACGTATCCCGCATTAAAAAAAAAAAAAAAATTAAAAAAAGAAAAAAAGTTTTACCTCGGAAACAAAAAAAAAAAAAAAGGTAAGATACAACATGAAAGAGTGGCAGTTATGCATAAAGAGCGAGCACCTTCCACTGGCGTGACGAAAACAAAACGATGTTTTCAGCCATACCGTAAAGAGGCACTTTCTTTTACCTCACTTATATGGAAGTCAGCGTATACAACGTGTACGTATCTGAGAAAGCATTAAAAAATCCTTAAGAAAATGCCGGCTCGGGATAAAAAGAAACTTTTTCCGGGAACAAACTACCAACCAGCCTTGGCAGACGTAAAGCACTGCGAAGACATACAATTAGCAAAATAATTAAGAAAAAAAATACGAATGATTTTTTTTTTTTTATTAGTGAAAATAAACAGATGGTTTCACTGAGAAACTTGCTAAGCATCAGCGGCG